CTATTTTCAAAACGTTGACCGTACGAGGTGTATATACGAACGGCATTCCCCTACAACGGACAGCGCCCACCAGGAGGTGCCGAACTCAGTCGGCAGCCGACCGCCATAGTCGTGGACCGCACGAGGTTTACTATACGAACCGGCATTTCCCCCTATAATCGGACCAGTGCCCACAGGGAGGGTGCCGAACTCAGGTCGGCGGCCCACTTTGCCGTTTTTGACTTTTTTTCTTTTTCTTGGTCCGTTTTCCCCTTTTACTTTTTTTCCCGGAGGTTTACAGTTGAGGGGGACAGTTAAGGGGTCACCGGTTTTATCAGTTAATTTCAAAAACTCTTGAGTCCGACCCCCCAAAACTCCGTGTTTTATTCCGACTGGGTCTCACCGTACACTTCGCCTGTGAAGTGGGTAGGCAAACGGTCTGTCCGGCAAAAAAAAAGTGACTCACGAGAAGTTTTTTGCCAAAGACTAAAGCACCTTCCTAGGCATCAGGTTTTCCATACCTACGTAAAAACTGCCTTTTCCCCTTTAATTCGGGGCCTGTGGAAAAGGTGAAGAGGCAACGTTGAAGTTGGCTCTTCCCTATTACATCTCTCTCCCCCATAGGCGGCGCGTGAGGCTCAGGTTTGGGAAGGCTAAATAACTTGTTTTACCTGACGCTACCTGCCTCCGGCGTCTATAGAAAAGAGATCAACTCAGTGAAAGCACCGCCTGATCAGAGACAACGGCTCAGTGTGCGGAGTTTAACCTGTTAAGCCCCAATGCCCCCGCCGGCGGGGACCCTGTTTTTTTTTTTTCAGGACACTGTGTCTCAGGGGATCTTAATATTTAGGAACCTATTAATGTGTTAAACCAGATTAACGGAAATAATCTCAGCTAACTGACGATATAAACCATTTTTACCAAAACAAAACACAAGTCTCATAAGAAGCATCTAAATGACCCCTTAGCGAAAAATGCTAACGGACATTGGCACAGAACTCAAGATAAAAGTACCCTTATTACTTATCGTAGCTGCACATACAAGATCTCCGATTAAAGCTGAGGTTCCACAGATTATTTAGGTATACAGTATCATCACTGAGTGATCCGAACTTGCGACAGGGGAAGCAAAAACAGACATCACAACAGGTACCTTTACGTAGCTTCTAGGGAGATCGTCTCACCGTAGCTGTTAATCTGATCAAAAGACGTGTTCAATGGCATTAAAACGAGAAAAAACGCGGCTGAATCGGTTAATCCATAGGTTGATAAAGTTCCTGGGAATAATTGGAATTATTTATAATCCATAATTCCATTTTTATGTAAAAATCGCAGAGCAAAAGTTAGCTGCTAATGGTAGCTGCTTCGGGTCTTGGCTATGCGGCAGTATAATACACACACATGACCAAATAAGGACTATGTGGGAGTTCCCCTCGAGTCCATTGGCTCTGACGGTTAGAAAGAGATGTCACATGTCAAAATCCAGCAGGGGGAGCCAGAGATATGAAAAATCCACCCAAATGGCCCCAGAAGAGTTTTCTTTTGTTAAATCTCTCTAAAAAGGTCAAATATCACTTGTTTTGCATCAATCTTGATACAGGGTACTTATTATATGTTGTACTTTGGATTCCTAAAGCTTTTAGTCTACTAACCCATCATCCAAGGTTAGTTTTCACTATAAGTACAAAATATCTTTTGGACGGACACTATCATTTACAGTTTTTTACCATGTTCAATCTGAATTTTCTTTAAAATAAAAAACATCTATATTGAATCTGACTTTTCTACATCCAACTCACAGGTTTATCATTACTTTGAGAAAAAAGATGATTAATTTAACCCTTTTAGAAGGGAAGATATGGTCATTTGTTCTGGGAATGTCATTTTCGAGCCTGAGACCTGAAAAACAGGCTCGGGGTTTAACAGGATGGTCAAGACAGTCAAATCATTAACGCATACAAAAAACTGATATTAAGAAGTAAAATAAAAGTTATATAAAACACTCCTCATGGTTTCATCTGCAAATATTCACCTGTTGTTATAATTTAAGACATCATCTTTCAATCCTTTTCTTATCTCAAGTTGTCCACTTTCATAACAAAGTGATAATCAAAAAAACAAGCAAAGCAATAAAACACTTTTGAGCCTGTCCAACACTGAACTTTATATGTATTAATTTAGCACTTTTCATAATATAACATGCTGCTCAAGACAGGAAATAAAAAACAACACAGTTATTCAAAAAAATAAATAAAAGTATGTAAAACATAAAGAAGAATATAAATGTTTTGTGTAGCTCAATGATCATCTGTCTCTCGTCTGTCCTCAGGGCTTCACCGGCTCTTCCTGTGAGTACGACTCTCGCTCCTGCGGGGGTCTGAATTGCAGAAATGGCGGTACCTGTGTGTCGGGCCACCTGGGCCCCCGCTGCCTCTGCCCCCCCACCTTCACTGGGCCCGAGTGCCAGACCCCCACCGACAGTCTCTGCATCTCCAACCCCTGCTACAACGGCGGCACGTGCCAGACCACCCCTGACGCTCCCTTCTTCAAGTGCAGCTGCCCGATCAACTTCAACGGCCTGCTGTGCCACATCCTGGACTACTCCTTCGTGGGGGGCTTCGGCCGGGACATCATCCCCCCGCCGGAGGTGGAGGTGAGCTGCGAGATTCCTCAGTGTGACGAGTGGGCCGGGAACCACATCTGTAACTCTCTGTGCAACAACCACGCCTGCGGCTGGGACGGGGGGGACTGCTCGCTGAACTTCGACGACCCGTGGCAGAACTGTTCGGCCGCGCTGCAGTGCTGGCGCTACTTCAACGATGGGAAGTGTGACGCTCAGTGCAACAGCCCGGGGTGTCTGTATGACGGCTTCGACTGCCAGGGGCAGGAGGGGACCTGCAAGTGAGTGTGAAACTGAAGAAAAAGGAATGTTTGGCAAGCAAATATGTTTGGGATGTGTCATGTATTTGTCGGTAGGGGTGCTGTGATTTACCGGTATTGGTGTTAAAAGTGGTATTATAATAATTATAAATAATAATAATTGTGTACAAACCACCTCTCTGTACTCGCAGTTTTAATTGTTTGTATTTCCCAAAAAAGGAACAAAAAACATAAAAAAAAGTTATCAATGAGTTTGACTGACAGCATCATTATTTTATTTATGAGCTATCAAGAACGTATTGTTATCATTCATGTTTTTGCCATCATAACATTTACTGTTATTTATTACAGTGTATGCCAAATTAATTAATTCAATATTACGTATTTAAACAAACATAATACTAACAAATAAGAATACAAAATTAAAATAATGAATCTTGAAGTGAAAGACATGCCTTAATTTAGCGCTAACCAAAGCTCCTTGTGTTCTGCAGCCCGCTGTATGACCAGTACTGTAAGGACCACTATGCTGACGGTCACTGTGACCAGGGCTGCAACAACGCTGAGTGTGAGTGGGACGGGCTTGACTGTGCAGAGAACATGCCGGAGAAGCTGGCAGATGGGCACCTGGTCCTGGTGGTCCACATCCCCCCCGAGCAGCTGAAGAACCGCTCCTCAACGTTCCTCAGAGAGATCAGCAGCGTGCTCCACACCAACGTGGTGTTCCGCCGTGACGCCAAAGGAGAACCCATGATCTTCCCGTACTACGGAAACGAGCAGGACCTGGTGAAACACAACGTGCTGAAGCGCTCCGCAGACGGCTGGCCGGAGTGGGCCGCCAGGCCCGCCTCCGTCCAGGGTCAGGTCCAGGAGAGCGTGTCCGCAATGGTCAGCCGCCGCAGACGCAGAGAGCTGGACCCTGTGCAGATCAAAGGGTAGGACCACAGAGAAATCACTACTACTTCTTCTTTGGTTTTATTTGCAGATTAGTTTCAGTTTATCGTCTTTTTGAAAAATTAAGACATGATGCAATACAGGAAGGGGCAGAAAAACCCACTGGGCTTTTTTAAAACCTCCACCCAGAAATCCACAATGTTATAGAGGACGCAAGATTCAAATACAAATAATAATAATCTATATTATTTTTTTATTGATATTTAGATTTTATTTAACATTTTCATATTGTATTCTATTTTTGTGTTTCACTGAGCTGTATTATAGTGTTAATATGTCCTCCCCCCCGCTGCAGGTCGATTGTGTACCTGGAGATTGATAACCGTCAGTGTTATCAGCAGTCCAGTGAATGCTTCCAGAGCGCCACAGATGTAGCGGCGTTCCTCGGAGCGCTGGCCACCAGCGGGAACCTGAACGTCCCCTACATCGAGGCTGTCACCAGTAAGTCTCTAAAGCCTTTTTGTACAAATATCTATATATTCAACGTATAATCAGTGGGGCAATGTAACTCAATACATTTAATCAAGTTTTGTACTAAATGCAAAATTGACTTTGACTTTAGTTGAGTTTTTTCTTTACTGCACTTCAGTGCAATTCAAAGAGAAATATTTAACTTTTTACAAAGCCAAGCTTTTATATTACAACTTTTTGAGAGATTTTGAGGAATACATTATCATTTATACACCTTCAAGTAATTTATTTAGAATTAAGTTTTTGTATTAAATATATTTATTTCACAGAGTACCTTTAACAGTATTGTATTAGTATATTTTCTTAAATAAAGGGTACTAAGTACTTCTTCCATCTCTGCCTGTTATATTAAAAGTGGTCACCAAGTTAAGATGAGCCTTCATTGATCACCTTAGGGACATTCAGGTGTCTTAGCAGCAACAGTAAAAAGGCAGAAGTAATATCAGATGTTTTCCCTCCAGGTGTGAGACCTGCCCCCTCCGGCTCAGAGCTCTACCCCATGTACGTGGTCTTCCTGGGCCTGGCCGCTCTGGGTTTCGTTTGCCTTGGTGTTCTGGTGTCCCGTAAGAGGCGACGCGAGCACGGCCAGCTCTGGTTCCCTGAAGGCTTCAAAGCTTCAGAGCCCACCAAAAAGAAGCGCAGAGAGCCTCTGGGAGAGGACTCTGTTGGGTTGAGGTACGGACACTTTGAGAATGGATCAAATCGACCTGCGGCTCGGTATTGTCTTCACCTTTTGTATTTGATTTAAAGCATCTCGTCTAACCTGCCTCCTCTTTTCAACAGGCCTATGAAAAACTCTGACATCAATCTTATGGATGACAATCAGAACGAATGGGATGATGAGGATCCAGAATGCAGGCGCTTCAGGGTAAGGAAAAACCTCCTTTTCTCTGAAATCACTTTGTTTTATCACTCTCTCATGTTGTGATGATCTGTGTCTCTCAGTTGGAGGAGCAGGCCATGTTGGAGCTGAGTGACCGTACAGATCACAGGAAGTGGACACAGCAGCATCTCGATGCAGCTGACCTGCGCACTGCCTCCATAGCACCAACTCCCCCTCAGGGAGAGATCGAAAACGACTGCATGGATGTGAACGTCAGAGGACCAGGTTTGTTCAGCTGTTGTTGGAAAAAAGTTCTGCCAAACAAGTGACTGTGAGCTGATTATAATCCCTTTTCCTCGTTTGCAGATGGTTTCACCCCCCTTATGATCGCCTCCTGCAGCGGTGGAGGGCTGGAGACGGGCAACAGCGAAGAGGAAGAGGATCCCTCGGCTGAAATCATCTCCGACTTTATTTACCAAGGCGCCAACCTCCACAACCAGACGGATCGCACCGGGGAGACAGCCCTCCACCTGGCCGCTCGCTACGCCCGCTCCGATGCTGCCAAACGCCTCCTGGAGTCCAGCGCCGACGCTAACGTCCAGGACAACATGGGACGCACCCCGCTGCACGCCGCTGTGGCTGCAGACGCTCAGGGAGTCTTCCAGGTAAAGAGTCTGATCAACCTGCTGGGTCTTTTCACTTGAGACTTGAATACATGTTGGATGCTACCATTAACACATCAATCTAGTGAAGGCTGTTTATGCTCTCCTTCACATACATGCATATGAATTCCCACAAGAAGTTCACTTACAGATATAGTATTGAATATATTCCAATTTCAATAAAAAAAAGAACCTAATAAACTAAAAGTGCTTTCACATAAAAAACAGTAAACTTTTCGTCAACACTTCTTAAAACTTTTTAAAACACAAAATAAATAGAAGATCATAAAATATGAATAATTATCATTCTAAAATATAATAAAACATTCAAATAATGACAAAAATGCACGAAGAGTCAAATAAAAAACATGGGTTACTTTATCAGTATAGTATTGAATCATTAGCTTTTAATCATGATAATAACAATAATAAACTTTATTTGTTTATGCAAATAGTGCTTACACATAAAAACAGAAGACCATTAAAAAACACAGAGAACAAAAGAAGCAAGCGTTTTGTGACCGAGTTCCATCTCTGAGTTTAAAGACTCAGACTTCATGTTTTTGGTTGTGCTTGTTTACCATTTTCCAGCACCTTAAAAGCATTTCACTAAACACCCATGTGTCTTTGCAGATTTTAATCCGAAACCGCGCCACTGATCTTGACGCCCGCATGCACGACGGAACAACACCGCTGATCCTCGCCGCGCGATTGGCTGTGGAGGGGATGGTGGAGGAGCTTATCAACTGCCACGCCGACGCTAACGCCACCGACGACTCTGGTACGCTAACTAAGATGCTATCATCATATAATCCTCTCCACCGTTCATAAAGAGGCCTCCCAGCATGCCGAGCTGTTTGATAATCATCCCTCACCTTCCTCCTCTCTCTGCAGGAAAGTCTGCTCTGCACTGGGCCGCGGCGGTGAACAACGTGGAGGCCGCCATGGTGCTGCTGAAGAACGGAGCCAACAAAGACATGCAGGACAACAAGGTGTGTGAAGTCAGAAGCTCCATACGTTCACAGAAGTTCATATCTTTTTTCAAAAGGTTCAAATTTAAAAAATCAAAACAGACCTTTTTATGAGTTTACTGCATTATCCCAAATTATTCCAAGGATTTTAAGCAAAAAATTATTTCTAATTTCATTTGGTCGCTTGCATTATGTGCTTCTTTTCTATTTTTGTAAAACAGAAAACATCATACATTTACTTTTATTCAGGTTTAGGCCACATTTGAACCATATTCTTCCTACTGTAGATCTTTGTTGTTTTAACTGTATATTTGAACCGGACGAAGGTCATCAAAACATCTGTATCTGAATTCATCAGAGAAACAAGCTGAGAAAGCATCTGCCTTACTGAACTGATCACAGCTTTATTCAGTTTTGACTGGCGGTAACCCCCTGATGTATTTGTTTTGGAGGAGGATAGCTCTGCAGATAATCTGGCTAACAGTAATCCTATGGCGCTTTCCCACTGCTGCACGTAGCACGGTTTAAGCGCTTTTCCGCTAGGGGTAGTTCCGGCCCATGGCTACTTTTTCTCCTTTTTTCTGGCCCTCCAAAAACGAGGTTCTTACCGGGCCAACAACCGGGCTGAATATGCTAAACTAGTGAAGTAAACACTCTCCACTGCTGAATAGTCGGAGAGAATCGCTGGCAAGGGGGCTACAACTACAACAACATGAACATATTTGACCGTGATTTAATTGTAATACACGTTTCAAAATGATGCCGAAGTAACAACATACTGATACCGGATAGTAAAAACCATGAATTAAGGCTTTGACAAGTCTGCAGACAGACGGCAGGAGAAAAACCTTTTAAAACCTTTTAAAAACATTTTTCTGAATGGAGATCGGATTGATCAGGCTAAGCTAACGCAGTATATGCTCCGACCGTCCACACTCACAACAACGGCCTACAGACAGAAATAAATCAGCGACTGTATTCTCCATGACACAGACAGTCTGTGGTTTGGACTTGTTTAACTGTTGTCTAGTTTCTGAACAGATATGAGGAGCTGTGAGCTCTGAGGGCTAACAGCTAACGGCTGATGTTTTGGTTTTGTGGTTCGCATTGAAGATGACGTCACGGCAGTTTTATGCAGCGTCGCACCGCCCGCTAAACAGCCGATCGCCCTGCTTACACTGCGTTACTATAGTTACTACCCCTTTTACTAAATTGTAATGGAAACGCAGCATAGAGCCTGGCCTACCAAGGCCTAACCATACCGTACTAAGCCGTGCGAGGTCCTGCAGTGGAAAAGCGCCATTAGTTAGAAGAAGCTGATCCCACAAACTCCCATTATCCCCAACTCTATGCCGCCACCAAACAAAAACACATTTCATTGAGAAACTCCTCGTATCAGAAAATGAAATATTGTTAGTTTAACCGTTATTTTGTTGTTCTCATTACAGGAGGAGACACCTACCTTCCTTGCCGCCCGTGAAGGAAGCTTCGAGACAGCTAAAGTTCTCCTGGAACATTTCGCCAACCGCGAGATCACGGACCACCTGGACCAGCTGCCCCGAGACATCGCCCAGGAGCGCATGCACCACGACATCGTGCGCCTGCTGGACGAGTACAACGTGGTCCGGAGCCCAGGGCTCCACAGCGGGCCCCTGAGCACCTCCAGCCTCTCCCCCCCCCTCTGCTCCCCCAATGACTATCTCAGCAACCTCAAACCCAACCTCTCTGTAAAGAAGGTCCGTAAACTGAGTGCAGGGAAAGGAGGAAAAGACGGAGGTAAAGATAACAGGATGAAGAAGAAGAAGTCACTGGATGGAAAGGGGAATCTGCTCGATTCAACAGGCGTCCTCTCCCCAGTGGATTCTCTGGAGTCTCCTCACGGATACCTCTCAGACGTAGCTTCTCCTCCCATGACATCCCCCTTCCAGCAGTCGCCTCCCATGTCTCTAAATCACCTCCAAGGCAATGGGGATCACATGGGCCAGATGATGGGTAAAGATATGAGCTGCATGTCTTTCGACCCCCCACGTCTCTCCCACATGCCCGTCTCCAGCCCCAACAGTCAGGGCAGAGGGGGAGGTCAGTGCGACTGGATCTCAAGGATGCACCCGGGTGTGGGCCAGCAGGGGGGCTACAGCCAGCCCATCTCCCACAACATGATGGGGGCTCTGCACGGGGTCAGCACGGCCACGCTGTCTCAGATCATGGGCTACCAGAACATGCAGACCAGCCACCTGGTGATGCAGCAGCAGCAGCACTCGCGGCAGCTCCAGCACCAGAACTCCAGCTCCACCACGGGGGGGCTCAACCAGAGCTTCCCCAGCGTGGATCTGAACGACGGGCGCTCCATGCCCATCCTCACCGTCATGCCGCAGGAGACCCAGATCCTCGGCACTCAGTTCCTCACCCCCCCCTCCCAACACAGCTACTCTGGCCCCATGGACCACACCCCCAACCACCAGCTGCAGGTGCCCGATCACCCCTTCCTCACCCCTTCCCCCGGCTCGCCCGACCAATGGTCCAGCTCGTCCCCACATTCCAACATGTCTGATTGGTCGGAAGGCATCTCGAGCCCACCCACGAGTATCCATTCACAGATGAACCTGATCCCGGAGCAGTTCAAGTAGAGACTTTTTTAAAATGGACAGTGGGAAAAAATTCAAAGAAATACAGAAAGAGAGTGACAAACCTATCTAAAGACCTTTTTTATTATCAGTTTTTATACTAACGATAAGAACAGTTTTAGAAATGTTGTATTTATTTATCTGCTTTTTTTTTTGAAATATAAAGAAGATGCTTTTATATTTATGCTTTTTTATTTGTATTTGTATTTGTTATGTATGGGAAGATTAGAAACTGTTTTAAAAGGAGTGTATATCATAAGAAAAAAAGACTCCTGTACACTGGCTATTTATTTGTGTCTCGTGTTGCTTTGTTCACTGGATCTATTTTTATCTTTGTCTTCACACATGTTTTATTTTTTGGGATTTGCATTGCTTTATGTTTGTACAGATTTTTTCTCCCAACTTTCTATAGATTATTTTAAAATGTTCAGTATTAATTAATTATATTTTAACCTACTTTGTGTTTTGAAATGACACAGGTTATGTTACTGAACTACATTTCACTAAGTCTTATCACTGAGTCCGCGTTGGATGATAAAATATATATTTAAAGTGTGGCCTTTCATGATGTCGCTCGCTCTCACAGAGTAACGAAGGTAACAGAGACCTTAAAGCACAGAACAAATATCCCTTATGAGTTGAGAGATGCTTTTTCGAAAAGAGTTAAAAATGCATCTTAATCAACCTGAGCCTATTTTCGATGAAGTTATGGTGTTGGCGGGTAATTGATAATAGATAGTATTATAGTAATTGATTTGTAATAATGTATGATGCAAGAGCGTTTCTTTATTTCATATTGTACTTCAAACCAGTGATAATGGTTACCATGTTTAACCTGTAAAGTGTTCAATGGCAGACCTGTCGTAGAACATGTTACATTTGCCACAGTTTAAAATAGTGCCAGTGTGATTGAGTTTTTCCTAAGAAAAGCAACATATTTGTGAGATTTCTTGAAAAGAAAAACGTCTTCGAAGTGAAGAACATAGTTTGTGAATGAAATGGGGACCTTTGTTTGTGTGTTTGAACACACCACCTGCACTTTGTGTGGTTTAAGGTGTCTAGATGTCACGTTTTATAAACTAATTCAGAGATACGAAAGATGTTTTTAAGAAAAGATGTAATTCAAAATCAATGTTCATGCAAAGTTGTAGTTTGCAAAGAAGTATTTCCTGATTTAAAAATGTTTGTAAAAATGATCTTGATTCAATAAAAGTTGCTGTTAAGCTTTAAAATATGGCTTCATTTCCTGTTTAGTCTCTAGTGCAGTGGTCACCAACCTTTTTAAGCCCAAGATCACCGACCTCGGCCTAGGTGAAAGGTGAGATCTACCTATTGCAGAATTGATTGAAAAAGACGGCCCAGACAATGCTTCCAATTTGAGGCCTTTTATATAGGCTAATTGCTTCTGAATTACTGTTACAATGAAGGCTCCATAATCAGCTCACGGCATATAGGGGGTAAAGGGCTATTGGGGGGCGGACCTCACCTCCTCTAGGGGGGTCCGGGGGGATGCTCCCCCGGGAAGATATTTTTTTAAATATTGAAGTTGAAAGCATCAATCTGGTGCACTTTGAGAGCAACATGAAGAGATCTATGGATACCTCTCTCAGCACCCATATGAAACAGAACTGTAAACAGATTTTCTTTTTCTTTATGGATATTTTACAAATCAACTCCCCTTTTAAACTGTATTCTTGTTTTACTGCCATATCGTAGGCTATTCCATACCTGTTTTTCATTTATTCTCTTATTGTTTGTATAACTATAATGATCATATGAAGGTGTGCCGCGGAAATAATATTTTGAATAATTTGTGACAAAACCGTTCTAAACACTCAGAGAGTCCTTTAGCTCACCTGAGCCCCTCAGTCTGACAGGAGAGGACTCTCCTCCAGCTTGTTGTGGAAACAGCTCCTTATGTCCGTTAGTGCAGCTAGCTAACCAGATGCTAACATCACGGTCCCCGCTAGCACCGGTCCCTCTCTCTCCCTCTCTCCCTCTCTCTATCACACTAAATGCGCTATTGCCACACACACACAGAGCCAGCTTGAATGACACATGCACACGTGTATTTCCATGCAACTCTCTGATTGGTCTGGTGTCTTGCCTCTGTTGCGTTCACTGAACACGGGAAATTACAGTCCTGCCGTTGTCTCTTGTGTCATGATGAGGTTCACGTAAAGCATGGTTAATGTATTATATTATTGAGGTGTCTCAAATATACGTCAATCAAGTGGCACCTGGTAACGGGGTGGTGGATGATAGGTTTACATCTAAAAACGTATTTTTCAAACATTATTATTTTAATTTTCTTTTTCTTTCTTTTGTTACTTTCTTTTTTAACGGTCCGCGATCTCCCCGCACCACACTCGCGATCGACTGGTTGGCGACCACTGCTCTAGTGCATATAAACTTACACAGGTTTACTTAATCAGGCATATTATTATTTATTGTATACATGTTCTACAGCAAAGGGGCCGTGCAGATAATAAGAGAAGCAGACAGATTCAAGAAAGAGACAAGCACAACATCATCACATAAGTCATATAAGAACACATGAAAGGTAAATAAATAAGTAGCAGCATTATAAAAGTAATTCAACATATGAACGTATTCAACTAGCATCTAGTAATAATAATGTTACAGTCTTAGGTAGTGAAGAAGCAGCCACAAATAACAGTATTAATTATAAAAAAAGTAAACATGGTACAGATGATCTAGCTAAATAATAACAGGTATACAACATTGTGCCTGCAGCGCCCTCTGCTGGTGAGGTTGAGCACTGCAGAGGACAGAGGAGAGCAGGTCCCCATAGAGACAGGCAGCCAAAAGGACCCGTATGCTCTCTGAAACCATGACAGCCTCAATGTGAAGCAGCCGGCTTTGGGACATTAACATTTCCCTCGAAATCAGACTTCCGGATGGTTGCCAATCAGATTTTTCATTATTGGATTACCGACCAACAGTGTGTGCAGGGAGGAGTCCTGTGTTTCACCGCTAGCCGAGCTAAAACCAAGCCAGCATGTCGGCGATTTAACAGCAAACACAAAGCGAGCCAATGCACTATTAAAGGTGAGTCTCTGTTGTGTGTTCCAGCTTTTATTTCCCGAGTGTGTGCGCAGTTTAGCAAGCTAACACGGCTAATACCAGGCTCTAAATGGTGCTAGCATCAGGTCATTCATTGGTCAGCACAGATTGCAGCCTCGACTACCTGGAAAATGCATTATCAGTCACAATTGTGTATATTTTATTATTTTTGTATAGGTAATAAGCATAAAGCAGCTGTAATGTGTGTCTAATAGTGCTGCTTTGCTTCCATTCCAACCCTAAACACCATCAGCTGATCATCAGCTGTGCAGATAAAAGGTGTTTTGTCTTGAATGAATACATAAATGGTCATTGTACAACATCATGTTGATTGACAGCCCAGACAGTAGCAGCAGGGTAAATCAGGCGGATCTATGTGTAGTATTTCATAAAAAAACATGATGATCAGAGCAGGTGCTGTCGGGGGGCTGCAGGCCCTGCTTGTTGTTCTCCATATCATATCGATGATGTAATGCGATGGGCTGATACTGGGGGTAACAATGTTTCTGTCTTATATTCAGAAATGTTTCTTTAATGTTGGGAAAATAGCGCCAGTTTGTAAATATTGTGTGATTTGGTAGACTACCTGGGGCAGGGTATGGCCTGTTCAGCATCACAGCCAACACTAGAACAAATACATCCGAAAATATATCAAATATATTTCAACAAACAGTACCTTCTGCATGCAAGAGCACAATAGTATCATTAATCAGTATCAGTTTTAAGGTTGTGTAATATTACATTTTGGAAAGACTTTGATTGTTATATACGTGCAACATAACACTAACACACAACATTAGTATTGATGGTAACACTATCACTAACTTTAAACGTGATTATAAACTGTTAATATACTAATACAATACAACAATCCTATAAAAGAAATTCCCTTTTCATTAAACTATTTCTCTGTTTTGAACTCAAATTGAATGCTTTTTTGAGTGCCTGAAATGTGTAATACAAATAAATGTCACTAGCTTACATTTATTTTTTAAATGTATTTAATAGTGTTTATTATTTGTTTATATGATTTTATTAAACTAATTAACATTTACATTACATTTATGTATATTGTTTGAATAAAATGAATCTATTTATTTATTCTTTATTAATCATTGTTATATTAATTATCATAATTTTATTGTTTGTAGTATTGTTTTGTACATTCTTATTCTTATTGTTTTTATTCTTATTACTATCTTTCTTATTCTTATTTTACTATGATTATTTTATTATTATTATTATTATTATTACTACTGTTATAATAATAATAATAATAATAATTGTTATCTTTATTATTATAATTATTCTAAATCTTACTACTATTATTATAATGTTTTTTTTAAATCATTACTATTATAATTATTACTTTTATTATTACCCTTATGTAACTCATTTTTCTTGAACCTTTGAATAAGTCAATAATAAGGGTTGTGTGTGTGTGCTGCAGGATGGATGTGGAGGGCAGCTCTGGCAGGGACAGCAGCTGGAGGCGGGCAGCAGCGCAGGATGTGGGAGGACGAGGAAGCATGGAGGCTCAGGTTGTTCCGCTGGAGCTCTACGACTCTGCCAGAGCCAAAATAGAAGCAAATCTCCGCTGGCTGTTTGCCAAAGCTTACGGTAAAGGTAAGGCTTTACTCCCTGCTCACTGTTCAGCTCTGACCCACACTGGGCTCGGCTGGAACATATCTATTGTCCTTTAACACTTTGCTCTTTGGTGTAGCCAAGGAGTTGTTCCCTTATGTGTATTCTAATTCATATTGGCAGCTGCACATGTGGTGTTCTACATGGTGTTTGTTTTACAGTCAAATAGACTGTACCTATGATTTACCATTGCTCAACGCAAATCATGTTCAAAACAATTGCATCAGTTCCTTTCCTGGCATGCGTTCTTGGAGAGCAACATAACCAACACATCATTTTAAGCCAGGGACATAATAACATCAGTGTTTTGAACAAATCACTGTCAAAAGGCTGGTTAGGGGTTACAGCACGTGGATTATAAGCTGATATTGTATAAACCTGGTATTAACAAGAGGACAAATACAGTACAATAAGTAGCCATGCATTAAGAAATAAAGGCTTACACGTTTTACTTTAGCTTTTTGCTTTTATTGGAAGTTCAAAATAGTAAAGGGTGTGATATGCATGAAACCTCGCCGCTCAGAAACATTGCAGTTATACTTAGAGCTGAAACGATTCATGAGCTGAGAGAAAATAAACAACCATTTTGATCCACATTGATCCTCTACACCAACAATGACAAACCTTACCTTGCAATATCTTCTCAGATATGGGAACTTGCTGCTTTTGGTTGTTTTAATTGCTGGTAAAGTGCATGTGGTGACGTTGAGGACTGTCTGCTGTGGATGTTGTGCTCTTTCTCTTAAGTGGTGGTGCCCATTTCCGCAATAAAACACTCCAGGAATCGATGATATACATTGCAGTATGCTTGGATGATGCAGTGAAATGAACTGTGACTATGCATAAATGGATTTGGAAATAGAGTTGTTATTGTCCACGAACAGAGTATAATCACCAACTACTTGGATCACTTTCTCATGCTGCTGTTAGCCTCTCAGATTTGGATATTTCTTGCCTTACCCAGTCTTTTCATATTCTAGTGAATGTCTTAGTGGATTTCGATTGACAAGACAAGACATCACTTAGAACATGAAGAAATTAGGATGGACATTGGACAGCATTCAGTCCAAAAAGAGAGCCTTACTACAGTGTATCTACATGTCCCTCTTACTAACTCCTGTATTCAGGTGATGACAACCTTCCTATTAACTGTGCACTGGAAACAAAGTCATGAGAACAAGTTGTTTTCGCTTGTAATAAGTTACAAAAAATCTGCCAATACAACAAATGAAACGTTGCTTGGTGATATTTCTTGAAATAGGATGGGATATTTAGATAAATGAGATCTTGTAATTAGCTGGGGAAACTTCTTTTGAACTATTTTACCAGGATGTGTTTTCTAAAATCAAGCAAAATGTATTCCTTGAAACAAGGTGACCCCTCTTTCACAAATACCTTAGCAGTTTAAAAACCTTGTGACATGTCAAATAAAAACTTGTTTTATCTGAGATCCAACTCAATTAAGATGTTTTCAAGCTTTGACTTCAAAAGATACTAAATCAGAATCAGAATACCTGTATTGGTCCCACAGAGGGGACATTTACATTGTTACAGTATAAGGGAAGATGCATTGTCTAAAAACAACACCATATATCTCAACAGTGTTACTTCTTCATTTATTATGTCCTCTATGTAGTGTGAAGACATATTCTGACTAGAAATTTGACAAATATACTGTTTTTGCAGTGTTTATTGAGAAGCATTTAGCTTTGCATTGCTTTGTTGTCTGGTTATTTTACAATAATAAACATTCTTCCTGAGTAAAAGTCAGCAGCGTAGCAACAGAGCAGAGCTTCATGTTATCGAGTGAAGCTGACATCCTCAGCCAGAGTCCTTTTATACACGGGCCACTAACCTCGCTCTACTAAAACATTCTAAATGACTGCTCTACATGTCCCAGTACATGTCTGGAGAACACTCTGAATGTGGGCTTTGTGCCACTCGCTCATCAGGGTGAGCAGAGGGTCAGCTGTGACTGTCCCTGTCATTTTATTAGGAGTTCACAGTGAGGCATTTGCAAGTCATTCAGTTAAGAAGTAGCCTTCATCCTCAAATCCATTGTATGAGCCATGCCTACAGTAGTAAGCTGTCTCCTGTTTTGCAGTGGATGACTCAGTATATTTGAGAGGGAACTGACGCCTACAGGTCAAAGCTTGAAATGTGAAGTCATCTTATGCAGAGGTGGAGAAGTACAGATCTTGTACTTAAGAGTAAAAGTAGAAGTACCAGAGTGTAGGAATACTCTGACAGTAAAAGTCCTGCAATCAAGATGTTCCTCAAGTAAAAGTAGAAAAGTATTCTCATCAAAATATAGTGAAAGTAGCGACAGTAAAAGTAGTCATTGTGCAGATTGAATCTGCACAATGACTACTTTTACTGTCGCTACTTTCACTATATTTTGATGAGAATACTTTTCTACTTTTACTTGAGGAACATCTTGATTGCAGGACTTNTGGACCAATCTGCACAATGACTACTTTTACTGTCGCTACTTTCACTATATTTTGATGAGAATACTTTTCTACTTTTACTTGAGGAACATCTTGATTGCCAAGGCACACAG